GATCCGAAACTGCAGTGGATACAGAAACAAATCCGTCCAAGCAAATGCTAGGTTTCGTAACGCAGAAAATAAAGGGGTGTAGGTTAGGACTCCACGAGAGGTCACGGCTGCCATGTCTCGCCTCGCCGCGCGCGGCGATTGCAACTGATTTTACGAGAGCAACATGGTCGTGCGATTTCCCGGTCCCTTCACATAGTTCTGGCATCACGCGAATCTGCTTGGGATTTTTCCAAACCAGAATATTCAATGGGACGACAGTATTTTTGAATGGCAGCTGTACTTATTCGACGGGTTGCTGTATTTCTTCAATAGGACCTACTTTCACCGTCTGGCCGAGAATCTTAAACCTTACAATTGAGGCCAAAAGAAGGATTCACCCTGAAAAGAATTTTCGTAGATTGCTGATGTATTCTCTAAATATTATTTCTATGTTAATGGGCGTTGTTTTATACTAGTAGTTGAATATCGGGCCCATTCCTTTCATAGCCTTCACACCTGCAAGTATAAAGCAGACGGTTGGAAATCTCATGAACTATGCAAATGCAAAAAATACATAGCGAAAGCATCGCGGAGAGCACCTCCGCGGCGGCGGCAGGCTGACCTCTCGTGGAGTCCTAACCGTTCCCCAAAATAAGGAAGCAGCCTGCGTGCACGACTTCCCACCGTATTTCTTCCACTTCACGGACGAGGTATGAAAGCGCATTTTCTGCCCTTATGGCTAGGCACCGAAACCCCAAGGTTCTATTTATTCTAATCCACAGACATGTGATAATATATGGCAATGTAGCTTCTAATATGTGAACGCAAAAAGCACTTTGCTGATATCCCAAAGAAAAGCGAAGACAACGTCGAAGAGCATCATGGGTTCGTAAAGCCTCACTTTATCATACAGTAAGAACTCACCCTTATGAAACATTGAGCTCAATAATCTTGCTTGTTTCTGAGCACCCATTTCTATCAAAACTCACTAATAATATTTAATTTTCAAATTGGTTCACTTAATAGCTTTTTTCCGGTACAACTCTTGAATTCTATTCTATTAAAATGATATTTGCAGTGATCGTGTACGTCTACGTTCTGGCTCTCACAACAAGCACATCATCGGCTACTTCGACGACAGCCCAATCCACTGCGTCTTCAACATCAACGCCATCGACACCACAAACGCAGACCAGCACAACTGAACAAGCAACATCAGGCACCACAATATCAACTTCCACTGAATGGCACACGTCCTCCACTCATCCACCTTCCATGAGCACGACCAAGGTGGCATCAACGTCAACTACTGTCAAGGAAGGAACGACATCCACTCAGACTCCTACCACTAGCACGACCACGGTGCCATCATCGTCAACTACTATCAAGGAAGGAAGCGACAACCACTCAGCCTCCTTCCATGAGCACGACCGAGGTGGCATCATCGTCAACTACTGGTCAAGGAAGAAGCACTTCCACTCAGCCTCCAGCCACAAGCACGACCAAGGTGGCGTACCATCATCGTCAACTACTGTCAAGGAAGGAACGACATCCACTCAGCCTCCTTCCATGAGCACGACCGAGGTGGCATCAACCTCAACTACTGTCAAGGAAGGAACGACATCCACTCAGCCTCCTACCACTAGCACAACCATGGTGGCGTCAACCTCAACTACTCTCAAGGAAGGAACGACATCCACTCAGCCTCCTACCATGAGCACGACCGAGGTGGCATCAACGTCAACTACTGTCAAGGAAGGAAGCACTTCCACTCAGCCTCCAGCCACAAGCACGACCAAGGTGGCATCATCGTCAACTACTGTCAAGGAAGGAACGACATCCACTCAGCCTCCTACCACTAGCACGACCAAGGAGGCATCAACGTCAACTACTGTCAAGGAAGGAAGCACTTCCACTCAGCCTCCTACCATGAGCACGACCGAGGTGGCGTCAACCTCAACTACTGTCAAGGAAGGAACGACATCCACTCAGCCTGCCTGGCCATGAGCACGACCGAGGGTGGCGCGATTCATCGTCAACTTACTGTAAGGAGGAAGCACTTGCCACGCAGCCGCCTACCATTCTGCAGCACGACCGGCGTGGCGTCAACTCAACTACTGTCAAGGAAGGAGGAGCACTTCCACTCAGCCTCCTACCATGAGCACGACCGAGGTGGCATCAACGTCAACTACTGTCAAGGAAGGAACGACATCCACTCAGCCTCCTACCATGAGCACGACCGAGGTGGCATCAACGTCAACTACTGTCAAGGAAGGAAGCACTTCCACTCAGCCTCCTACCATGAGCACGCGGACCGGATGTGGCCCGTCACCTCAAAACTACTGTCAAGGAAGGAACGACATCCACTCAGCCTCCTAGCACTAGCACAACCATGGTAGCGTCAACCTCAACTACTGTCAAGGAAGGAACGACATCCACTCAGCCTCCTACCACTAGCACGACCAAGGAGGCATCAACGTCAACTACTGTCAAGGAAGGAACGACATCCACTCAGCCTCCTACCACTAGCACGACCATGGTGGCATCAACCTCAACTACTGTCAAGGAAGGAACGACATCCACTCAGCCTCCTACCATGAGCACGACCGAGGTGGCATCAACGTCAACTACTGTCAAGGAAGGAAGCACTTCCACTCAGCCTCCTACACGTGAGCACGACCGAAGGTGGCATCAACGTCAACTACTGTCAAGGAAGGAAGCACTTCCGGACTCAAGGCCTCCTAGCACATAAGGGCCACAACCATCGTACGTCAACCTCACACTACTCTCAAGGAAAGGAACGACATCACGTCAGACCTTCCTACCATGCAGCACCGCACCACGGTGGCATCATCGTCAACTACTGTCAAGGAAGGAAGCACTTCCACTCAGCCTCCTACCATGAGCACGACCGAGGTGGCATCAACGTCAACTACTGTCAAGGAAGGAACGACATCCACTCAGCCTCCTACCATGAGCACGACCGAGGTGGCGTCAACCTTCAACTACTGTCAAGGAAGGAACGACATCCACTCAGCCTCCTAGCCACTAGCACAACCATGGTAGGCGTCAACCTCAACTACTCTCAAGGAAGGAACGACATCCACTCAGCCTCCTACCACTAGTACAACCAATGGTAGCGTCAACCTCAACTACTCTCAAGGAAGCAACGACATCCACTCAGGCCTCCTACCATGAGCACGACCGAGGTGGCATCATCGTCAACTACTGTCAAGGAAGGAAGCACTTCCACTCAGCCTCCTACCATGAGCACGACCGAGGTGGCGTCAACCTCAACTACCTGTCCACACGCGAAGGGAACGACATCCACTCAGCCTCCTAGCACTAGCACAACCATGGTGGCGTCAACCTCAACTACTCTCAAGGAAGGAACGACATCCACTCAGCCTCGCCTTAACCATAGCACCCAGCACGACCGATGGGTGGCATCATCGTCAACTCACTGTCATAGGTAAGGACAGCATTCCACTCAGGCCTCCTTACCATGAGCCAGGCGACCGATTTTCGGTAGGCTGTCAACGTCAACTACTGTCAAGGAAGGAACGACATCCACTCAGCCTCCTAGCCACTAGCACAACCATGGTGGCGTCAACCTCAACTACTGTCAAGGAAGGAACGACATCCACTCAGCCTCCTACCACTAGCACGACCAAGGAGGCATCAACGTCAACTACTGTCAAGGAAGGAAGCACTTCCACTCAGCCTCCTACCATGAGCACGACCGAGGTGGCATCAACGTCAACTACTGTCAAGGAAGGAAGCACTTCCACTCAGCCTCCTACCACAAGCACGACCAAGGAGGCATCAACGTCAACTACTGTCAAGGAAGGAACGACATCCACTCAGCCTCCTACCACAAGCACGACCGAAGTGAGGCCCAGCGGTCCGATCTAACTACTGTCAAGGAAGGAACGACATCCACTCAGCCTCCTACCACTAGCACGACCGAGGTGGCATCAACGTCAACTACTGTCAAGGAAGGAACGACACTTCCACTCAGCCTCCTACCACTAGCACGACCAAGGAGGCATCAACGTCAACTACTGTCAAGGAAGGAAGCACTTCCACTCAGCCTCCAGCCACAAGCACGACCAAGGTGGCATCATCGTCAACTACTGTCAAGGAAAGGAACAAGTTCCGCTCAACACACTAGTGCAAGCTCCTCTAGGAGACCTCCTACGACGGAGACAGGGACTACTTCCACTCAGCCCTGCCTACCAGTAGACGAACCATTGGTGGCGTCAACCTCAAATCTACTGACAAGGAATGGAAGCACTTCCAACCCAGCCATCCAGCCACAAGCCACCGACCACGGTGCGCATCAACGTTAAACTTTACCGGTCAAAGGATGAACGACATCCACGTCATCCCTCCTACCATGAGCACGGACGCGAGGTGCATCATCGTGCAACTACTGTCATAGGAGGAAGCCACTTCCCAGCTCAAGCCTCCTACCACTAGCACGACCAAGGAGGCATCAACGTCAACTACTGTCAAGGAAGGAACGACATCCACTCACCCTCCTACCATGAGCACGACCGAGGTGGCATCAACGTCAACTACTGTCAAGGAAGGAAGCACTTCCACTCAGCCCTCCTACCACTAGCACGACCATGGTGGCGTCAACCTCAACTACTGTCAAGGAAGGAAGCACTTCCACTCAGCCTCCAGCCACAAGCACGACCACGGTGGCATCATCGTCAACTACTGTCAAGGAAGGAACGACATCCACTCAGCCTCCTACCATGAGCACGACCGAGGTGGCATCAACGTCAACTACTGTCAAGGAAGGAACGACATCCACTCAGCCTCCTACCACTAGCACAACCATGGTGGCGTCAACCTCAACTACTGTCAAGGAAGGAACGACATCCACTCAGCCTCCTACCACTAGCACGACCAAGGAGGCATCAACGTCAAACTACTGCTCAAGGAAGGAACGACATCCACTCAGCCTCCTACCACTAGCACAACCATGGTGGCGTCAACCTCAACTACTGTCAAGGAAGGAACGACATCCACTCAGCCTCCTACCACTAATACGACCGAGATTTGGGCCATCATCGTCAACTACGTGTCAACGGAAGGAGAGCACTTGCCACGCAGCCTCCTACCACATAAGCACGACCATAGGAGGGCATCAGCGTCTAAGACTACTGTCAAGGCGACAGAGAACCGACGATCCACTCAGGTCCTCCTACCACTTAGCACAACCATCGTGGCCGCTCAACCTCAACTACTGTCAAGGAAGGAACGACATCCACTCAGCCTCCTACCACTAGCACGACCAAGGAGGCATCAACGTCAACTACTGTCAAGGAAGGAACGACATCCACTCAGCCTCCTACCACTAGCACGACCATGGTGGCGTCAACCTCAACTACTGTCAAGGAAGGAACGACACTCCCACTCAGCCTCCTACCACTAATACGACCGACCGTGGGCATCATCGTCAAAACTTACTGTCAAGGAAGGAAGCACTTCCACTCAGCCTCCTACCATGAGCACGACCGAGGTGGCATCAACCTCAACTACTGTCAAGGAAGGAACGACATCCACTCAGCCTCCTACCATGAGCACGACCGAGGTGCATCAACGTCAACTACTGTCAAGGAAGGAAGCACTTCCACTCAGCCTCCTACCACTAGCACGACCAAGGTGGCATCATCGTCAACTACTGTCAAGGAAGGAACAAGTTCCGCTCAGCACACTAGTACAAGCTCCTCTAGGAGACCTCCTACGCACTGGAACAGGGAACTACTTCCACTCAGGCACGTATACTACCAGCTCCTCGAAGCCCCGTACAAATGTCGACTGCACAACTTGGCTACACCACGTTGACCGCTTCATCTTCTTCAACTGCTGGTAAGGTCGCGTCATCGACCTCCCACTCACCCACGGTATCATCTCATGAGCCAACTGCTTCCACTCACTCACATTCAACATCGTTTTCTCCCAAGTTTTCTTCTTCTACGCAAGGCAGCTCATCTTCCGTTGGAACTTCTTCTTCCGGTAGCACCTCAGCTTCCACGATCGCGTCGAGCTCGAGTAGTACTTTATCGCCATCAACTTCACCGGGAGATTCGCCTACTCAGCCAACGATGCCTTGGTCTACAACGGAGAAAGGGGCTCAGGGTTACCAGAACGTTAGCGGGCTTCTGATTGCACTGCTCGCCATCACGTTCTTATACTAGATCTATCCATTATGTAATTCTTCACTCCGGGTGGCATCGACTGGATGCCCGCATGGCTCTCTTTGCTTGCTTCTGCCATAGCGAGTCAAGCGTGATGTATTTCACATTGGAATTTGTAGTGTAGTCGAGAAATGGGGTAAAGTGCCTATGACATTGTAAATGAATGCATCGTGTTAAGTGACTTATTGCTTCTGTCGCCTTGCACAAGAAGCTGTGCTTGACAAACTCTTGTTCTGCATACAATGTTTATTTTTTTCGATCAGTCACTGTTCTGAGCAGATTTTTGTCTTCTCTGCGTGCAGCCTTGCAACAGATAACAATGTTTGTTGAAGTTCGCGGTGTAGGAGATTAGTCTGTAATCCCCAGCCGCTATCTGTTGAGGTGATGTCTATGACGTCGGAATATACGAAAGGTTACTAAATAAATTTTGGTATTTATCGATTTGTGCCTCACTGAACTTTTTTGTAAAATTTTGCATAAGCCAAGAGATCCACTGTGTCCGTTTTCATTTACTGGTTTGAATTGAATTGAAAACAGTTCACACATGACTTGGCTATCCAGTTTTTTGCGACTGTTGAAATATTCCACAGCGTAAAGATGGCACCTAACTTGCCTATGGTACTATCGGCGTTACTTTTTAGAAACGGCGCAGCTGGACTCAAGCGAAACGCGTGCATCAGCCTATTTTTGGTGAAGAATTCCTTTCCGCTGACTACAGAGCACGTCAATTTCTAGGTACTGGGCGGGGTTAAGGTCGAGGCACTGATACGTCACCTCATACGTGATTTTTACTCTGGAGTGAGTCAGCGCACCACTCCTGGTTCTTTGCGTTTAGTGCTGGATAAAGGTTTATTCACTTGAAGAACAAGGAATATGGTCAGAAAAAGTAACAAGAAAGGGGAATAAGCACAACTCTCGCGTTGCTCACAGTAATCACTAACTTTTTAACTGACCTAAAGAATGACTGTTTTTTCCTAGTTCCCTATCAGGCTTATTCATTTGCCTCCTCAGATGAAACTACGAGGAGCAGTCGAAAGATTCGTGGATAAAGTGCTCGGGCTATACTTGCTGTTGAAGGCAGTGGGCAGGAATGGGTATGGGGTAGCTGCCAACGTAATAGGTGGAAGATAGCGACAGGGCGTCTGGCCACACCCCACTCCTCCCCTTCACCAATGACTTTCACACCGCGCTCCGAGCCATTGCGCCCACTACCTTTACGCAACAGATGAAAAGTCGTTGGGATTTCGAAACAGTGGTCCAGATGAAAGAGCACACAAAGGACGAGTCGACAGACACTCACGGAAAGGGGTTGCCACTTGAGCCACCTGAGCCCTAGCCCAGT